ACACATATGTAAAATTAAATTCACAAACATCATAAGACCACTAAAAATGTCACTATTACATATATACCTACCATTTAGAAAACCTTTTTTGTTTTGTTTGGCTTGTTGTACTTACCAGCACCATTTAGGGTCGATTTGCTAGACTTGTTGTAGCTACATTATAGTCTACACACAGGAATGTGATAGGTCGCCAGTTCTTAAGATACAATGTTGACTTACCTTCCTTTTGTATACATGTAATGTGTCTGTCTTTGAGTGATAAAGAAATGTGTCCTTTTGAAATTCAAGTAACAATGTATTAGAACTAGTATAGATTTTTTAAAGAATATTTTTGTTCATTTCTAATATTACTTTTATCTGTTATCTCCGACTCGTCCTCCATTAACCCATTCAAGGCGTATGATGCCTCAAGTCATTACCTGGTAGACGCCGTTTGATGCCTGAAAGCATCACCTGGTAACGGCCGCGTGATGCCTGAATGCATCATGGAAAGTGAAAAATGCACTTCCTACTTTCAGTTTTAATATCAGATTAATTACGTAAATCTGTAAAGCGTACGTTACCATAGTATGTTAACAGGTTTCAAATTTAAATATTATGTATAAATTTTGACAATAATAATCATAGTAATGTCATTTCATGGTACTTTCGTTTTGAGTTTATGTGCCGCCATTTTTCAACTTTGTCTGACATGTGCAGTCAACGTGATCGCTTTAAAAATTGAAAGTTCATTACCTTACACACGAAATCTTTAAACCATTTATCTATCGTTGATTTAAAAATTAATAATCTATACTTAGGAGTGTTTAATAAAAAGATAAGCCGGTAATTTCTGTCTCTATCTGTTTCATCTTTGCATGTTTTTGATTTAAGCTCTGTTGACGATCGGAAGTTTACGGTTTAGCCGACAAATGAATTTCACACGACCATGCAGGTGTTCTCCCAAATAAGGAAATCCATATTTTTGTGCAGCCAATCAAAATTTGCTAGGCTAGAAGGCGGTCCCATAGTAAAATTGTAGTAAAACACGTAGTATTGGCGTCTGGGTGAAAATAAAAAAAATGTCTGAATCTTCGGATGAAGAGTTTGAAGGATTTTCTCAAAATGAAGTTGATGCTGCTGCACAGCGGTACAATCAGAGGCTTCAACAAATTGGAACAGGTGAATTAGATGCAGTTGAAAGTGAAAATGAATTTTCTGATGAAAATGAACCCCTTGTTGATGAGGCTGGTGACCGTCCTGCTGAAGCTGATGGGTGGCATGATAATTTTAACTATTATGAAAGGGGTTTACCACATTTATTTTTACCACGTGGGAATACAGGTCCTACAACAGTATAAGAGCCAAATAAAGAGCCTGTTGATTTTTTCTCATTGTGTTTACCAATGCAATTTTGCAATACATCATACAGGAGACAGCCAGATATGCTAATAAACAAATTCGTGACCATCCTGATGAAAATAAATCCCCATGGGTTACGCCAAATGCTGAGGAAATGAAGGCATTTCTTGGTTTATGTTTCCTGATGGGTATCAATGTAAAACCAGATATAAAATCCTACTGGACCACAGATGTTATGCTTGAGACCCCGTACTTTGGTAAAGTCATGAAAAGGGATCGCTTCATGCAAATCATGAGGTACATTCATTTTTCAAACAGCGAGCAAGCCCCACAGCCAGTTGATCCCAATTATACAGCTTTTTACAAAATTGAATCGTTAATGAATATGTTCACAGACTCCATGGTTAATCAGTACATTCCTAAAAGGCAATTATCAGTTGATGAGGTAATGATTCCCTTCAAAGGAAGACTGTCTTTTAAGCAGTATATGCCAGCCAAGCCTACCAAATGGGGCATTAAAATGTGGGCAATAGCTGAAGCTGACACAGGGTACGTTTCATTCTGTCAGGTGTACAGTGGGAGGATAAATGGAACAGCTCATGGTCTAGCAAACCGTGTAGTTAAAACTTGCATAGAAAGGGCAAATGTCATAGGGCAAGGGTACCATATTTATATGGACAATTACTTCACTGCTCCCTCATTATTTACAGACTTGTTTCAACATTATAACACTGCTGCATGTGGTACTGTAAGACTAAATAGGAGAGAGCTTCCTAAAGATATCATGAAGAAAAAACCAGAAGGTGTAACTATTCGTGGGGACATGCAGTTTAGACAGAAGGATGCAGTAGCTGCTGTTGTATGGAAGGACAAAAAAAATGTTAACTTAATTTCTAGTATACATGATTTCTCAGTTGGTGCAGTGCAGAGAAATGTGTAGCAAGCAGATGGTATTTTCCAACAACAAGAGATACCATGTCCACAAATGATATGTGATTACACACAGTACATGGGTGGGGTTGATAGGGCTGACCAGTACATCCAGTACTATGTTTCCAACATAAAACATTGAAATGGCCCAAAAGGATTTTCTTTACAATGATAGAAATGTTGAAATTTAATGCCTTTAGGCTTTTTTTGCTCTCTCCTCATCATCAACCAGGACCTGGTAAGAGACCGACAACCTTTTTGGAGTTTTCTAAGGCAGTAGCAGCGGGACTGATAGGTGGATACACAGGGGGGTCAGTTCGTAAGGGCCGTCCATCACTTGTCCCGGTTGACGACCGTCTTACACAGAGACACTTGCAAGGTTCCTTTGGGAATAAAAGTTGGTGCCATGTCTGCCACAAGAGGGTGAAAAATAATCATCAAGACACACGTAGACAAACAAAATATGGCTGCCTAGAATGTGGAAAACACCTCTGTCTCCCAGATTGTTTCACCTGTTCCATTCCGTTAAAAATTACTGTTAGTGTTATATCTATGTTGTTAGTTTGAGACAATTTTGAATTTATTAACTTTACCGTTTCAATTTGTGAATTTATTTATTTAAAAACTATGAACAAAACTAAAGAATAACTGATGAAGGATATTTGTAAAAGGATAGTATCAAGAGACATTGTAAAAATAAAGAGGGAATTTTATAGAGTGATCAGGACAACAAAATTTAAGGTCAGTGTGGGATTCCGCGATATACCATTTGTTATAGTTTTCCAGATACCGAGTATCAGGTCAGTGTGGTTTTTTCCGCGCTATACCAATAAGCTCACCTGAAAAAAAATTTAGATCAATGTCCTGAAATCTATGATCAATAATTCGACAACCAATGGATCCAATATATGTATATATTGTTGTATAGCTAGAGTTTGAAATATTTCAGGAAGATATTATACAATAAGGTGGCTTTTATGTGGGTGATGGTGCTACTAACACTAACAGTTAATTAAAACTAAGTCTGCAAATATTCATATACCATCAAATAATTTATAAACATATCCTTCGGGAGTGCTCCTTAGATAGGAAAAAACTACCAGAAAAAAGATAAAAAGACAAAGTAGTATTCAAACCAAAATATAGTAAAATGGAACACTGAAAAAAAAGACTAAGAAAGAGGCAAATAACAAAAAATTAAATTTGTTATTTTTGTTTGTTGAATAACCTTCTAGCAATTTAAAAAAAAATCAAAATAATCATTACCTTTAGTAGAATTTTGTTTTTCGATTATCTAATTATTCATTTGATTTTTAATTTTTTAAATGTATATTTTTATCGGCTTAAATTGCAATTAGGTTGCATGCCTGTTACTTTGTTTGAAATGTCCCTCTATTTGCCAGGAAGGTAATTAACTATGACAAATAGACGATTATTTGTTCAATCATTGGACAAATACACATTTTTATTGGTAATAGAACCGTAACAAGAATTTCTGAAATACCCCAAGTGACTTTGAAACATAACGGCAACGTATTAAAGAGTTGTCATCCGCCAAATTACAGTTGAGTTATCTCTCTTTAATTGTTGTTGACATGAACGACGCTTTGCAAATGGCGGATTTCAATCGCTGGTACTTCTCATGTTGTCGGTCGTTTATCGGCTTCCCAATCAGTTATGGTGTTGTCATAGACATTTAATGTTATTCTTTGTAACGAAAAGAAACATCGAACGTAAGTTAATAGCACGGAAAGGGAACGGTCAGAAGAAACTCGTCCCTTCGCAGTCATTTATTTGAAAACATTCAGTCATAAAAAAAAAACCTCGTTCGTCACAGAGCTAAACTGTTAAGATTGCTTCCTTTTCATATCGCTCTAACCACACCACAATGCATAACCAGTAGGGTACGACTTAACCTCAAAATATGTTCACGAAAATCGATCCCAAATAGCGGTAATTGTTGTTTGAAGTTCCAAGACTATTTTTTTACGAGCACATGTCAAATTAATCCCGGCCACGAAGCCGCTCGTGCTGATAAATCTCCGGCTATACGAACGCGCAAAACAAACTCAATTCCGTACTGAAAGTGTTAAAGTTTGGGAATAATGTATCTCTGTAATGTTGCTTTTCCAATTTGCAAAAAATTGTAAGTTCCCTTTTCACCCTCTAATTACCATCTTCCCTTTGCCCTTTTAGTTATCCATTTGAACTTTTTTCCCTTAATATTTTTAGTTCTTGTTCCACCCCTTCCATTTATATCCACCCCTTCCATTTCTTGGTGTACTGATGGCAAGTTATTGGCCAAAACTTTCTTATCCAATAATGACTACTTATTTTAGTATTTCTCTTTCTTTTTTATTTTCTTTTTTTTTCTGATATTACGGAAACGAGATTGCAGATCCACGGACTTGCACCATAATCATATCATATAAAAATTATAGCTGATAGCGTCATATGTTAAACTGTTTATCCTCTTTCTCAATATCCATAGATGGATGAGACTTATATTCTTCAATGACAGTTTTGATGCCCCCTTTTACTTTTCAACAATTTCAGTTTCCCTCAAAAGACTGATATTGGTATGGGCGATTTGTTTATTGTGCTTTATTATGACGTGATCAAAGTATTTAACAACTAATAGTCAAATCTTCAATTACAGTGCATAATATTTTGCTACATGACGTTAAGCAAAACAAAATCAATCAATGAACTATAATGTTTGTTTCAAAGATGACTGATGAAAATTATGAATGGAAAGATGCTTTCAAAAAGAATAGAGTAAAACTCGTTAAAGGCTTGGAAAATCCTGATGCAGTTGCAGGTCAACTTTTTCAATCAGCAATTTTGAATGCCGAAATGCACGAAATTATCGTAGTAAGTAAATGAAATAGGTCAGTTCGTCAAAAACACGAATATTCAGTAAAAAATCATACACAAGGGAAGAGAAATAGACAGAAAAGAAAAAAACATTTACATGAAATACTTATCATAGAATAGAGAACTATCGTATTACAACAGTCTGTTCAACTTTTCAGTTTCTTCTCCCAAAATCAATTAATTTGAAGTATGTGATTTGAGAGAGTGGAAACAACGTATTACGCATGAACACTTTTCCATTTTCCCAAGGTCGCGCAAAATGTTCCTCTTGATATCAATCAAGCAGTTTGCTTTGACGTCTAATATCAAATCTCATTTTGAATTGAAATAGGTTACAAGACGAATTAGATCTTTTTTATCGTTTTTTTCTTTTAGTGGTCCAAAAGTGTGGAATTCACTATCCAGTGAAATTAAAAATTCAAAAAATATATCTGCATTCAAATACTCTTACAAGTCATTATATTTTTAAAAGTGTGAAATTTTATAAGTTAAGCCACAGTGTATACTATAGGTGTTTTTTTTTTGTTTTTTTTTTTTTTGGTTATATTTGTGTATATATATATATAGATCTATTGTTTATATGTGTGTAATAGTAGATTAATTATGTTTTATTCATGTAGTTGATATTGTATGTAGAGAGCCTTATTGAAAATTGGTTTAATCCAAATGAGTTACTCTCTTTAAATAAAGATATTATTATTATTATTATTATTATTATTATTATTATTATTATTATTATTATTATTATGGGGCTAGCACCTCTTGTCTTCGTTTTTTTTACCTGTAATCACTGTATATTCACGATTTTTCACCATTCAAGCAAATGGATGAACGAGAACAGAAAACGAGGAAAATTTTGGACACTTTAAACTATCGAGGTAAGAAAGGTGTTGCTGCACTACATGACGCTTTTATGGAAACTGAAAACAAGGACCTTGCAAACGTCCTTGCACCATATGTTATAGCAGTTGAAAAAATAGCGAGCAAGACTGAGCCCAAAGGTGAGATTACCTTCGGTTTTTAGAATATAACAGTTAAGGGCATACGATACAGTTACAGGGGAGGTAATGACGTTGCTAACATAAAATGATGTATTTCGCGACGTCGAACTGTGACATAAGGGGGAAAGATACATTTTTCGACTGATTTTTATCATTCAGACTGAACAAGTTCATGAACCCCTCTTTTTAAAAATGATATTATGTTTGATTAGGTACGAAGATTATTTGTACCTATTCTTATTAAAAACAAAAATCACCGATGATATTTTTTGTAAATTTAAAAAATAATCAAACAGCAAAAAATGCCGTTTTTTTCGAAGATCATGAAACTTTGATAAAAAAATATTTTTTTCTAAAGAGCTGTTATACAAATTTAGAGCATACTTATGTAAAGAAGTTTTTCCAAATGTTTTTACAAAAATACGCTTGTGTTTGTCTTAAATAAGAAAGTAAAGTATGTCTATCCAAAGGATAGAAATGTGGAAAAAAAAACCATTTTGAGTATATGTCTAAAATTCCAACCCCATTTATTTCTTAAAGTAGCACATGAAGGTATATTTTTTCTAACATATTTGCATTGACTAGGTGAAAAATAGCTTGTATGAAAATTTTCGTGAAAAATCACCGTGGGAATCAAAACTGTATCGTATGCCCTAAATCAAGTTTGCTGTTTGCTATGTACTTTTTTTTTTATTTTAAGTCGTTATCTCTAAACCAGTGTAAAAGTTAACAATCTTGTCCGAATGATGTTGCTGTATTCAGCTTTCATGTTATAAATACCAAGTTAACACGAAAAAATGAACATTTCCTCTTCATTCTCTGCACTGCTTGCCTTTGATCATCTTTACTTTGGAACTCATTCTATTCAATAGAATGTTGTAACATTTGACAGGACGATTTGTGAGCTAAAGTGGGTTTTTTTTTGCGTTGTATCAAGTATGCCAGATTGTTCTCAAACTTCAGTTCATCATGTTTATTGTGATGTTGTCAATTAATTACACATTGTCTTTCTACATTAATTATGTTAATGTGTTATTGCATTCAGTCGATTTATTTACCTTGAGTAAAGTTTACCAATATTATTTAATGACTTTTAGAGCAATGTCAATGAAGTTGTAATATACACGAAGATCAGAAAAGGGGCAACTCAAACGTTTTCAAGGAGAATGTCTAATTGTCACTTTTAAATAGGTATCATCTGCGTCACCGACGGCAAAAGAATGTTTAGTAGCCGCTTAACTCCGTCCGTCCCTCTGTCTGATTGTCTGTCCGTACAGGGGTCGAACATTTTCGTGAAATCTTTCCATGAGAGCGAATAATCTAATATTTGGTATGCAACTTGATAATGCTGAGTTGTTGCGAGTAATCATTTTTTAGATCATCCTTGTGGCCTCTTTCTGTTAGTTTGTTTGAAAGTTTACAACACTCATTGTATAATGCAAATTGTCATCAAAGTTTTCGTGGCTGCTATAAAGGGGAATGGTTTAATATTTGATCTGCAGCTTTATAAATAAACTCATTATAGATACAATAGTGAGTTGTTGCGAGTACGCAATGTTAACATCCGACATGTAGCTACTTCCTGTTTCCTGAAAGTTTAGAATTCACAACACTCATTGTGCAAAGCAAATTTTCGTCAAAGTGTTATTGCCATTAATGAAAGGAAATGATCATTTATGCTTTAGTATACATGCTTCCTCAATCAATTGCATGCAGAAACGCAGGTCCTGACCCGATATTTTGATCTTGTTTTAATATCTTTTTTCTGAAGAGTCGTATAAGGAAGAAAATAAAGTTGAATAGCACAAATCTATAATTTTCGGGATTCAACTTTATTGAAAGCTAGAGCATCAGAAGTCAAAGAACTACAACGAAATTTGTACAGAAAAACAAAAACTTTTAGTTACTTTGGTTGCCTGGTTGATGCAATAAGAATTATTATTTCGATGCTTACTATTTATATGATATTACGTTTAATACATACAATGTAACGACCGTTCTTTTTAAGATTAAAAAAAAGAGGCAAACCGAAAAACTCGGAAGCTTTGGTTTGAAATAAGGTCGTTCATAGTGTCAAGTTGAACAGTGAAATAGAAAACAAAACAATCTCATCAAACGAGGTTATGGCATACAGGATTAATTGATGTCAACAAGTTGGATTGCCCCGGTGATGGATGTACATTGCAAAGGTATCATAAATACAGTGTTTCTAAAAAGGAAATTTTGACTAATACAGTCATATGGTAATCAAAAATCTAAAATAAAGCATCATAGATTTAAGGTATAGAACCACTATTTCGGCCATGTCAGAAAGAATATACAAGAAAGAAGTACATATTTTAAACAAAATAGTTCCTACGCATAGCTCTAACCTTGCCAATAATTGACATATTTGGGTAACTTTGAATTCAAAATGAAAGCTTAAGGACTCCGGATCACTGTAGAACCCTTGTTAAAAGTTTCTTTCGAATAATAAAAAAAATATATGAAATTAAGATAGGAGGCCATATTTGCCCTGTTGGTCAGATTAGAGGTACCTGTTTTAGTACTACAATTGTTCTACAATGATCACTAGCCCTTCGTCAACTTTCACTTGTTACCAAGATTACCATAATATGTAACACTTATGCGTAGGAACTTTTTTTTAATATGTATAATTTTCTGGAGTGCTCTTTCTGACCGGGTCCTATGTAGTGATGTTACACCTATGACTGAAGTAAATTTGCTATACTGACTTTTGCATTACTTGATTTCATTGTATGATCTATTTATAGCAAAGAAAAACATATATAAAGCTTTAGTCGAAACACTTTTTCACCAAATTTAAGCTCAAACTGGATTGGTAGTAACATTAGTGTTATGCAAAGAACACTGCATTTGCATATTACCATATACTTACCTATATGTCATCTTTTTGTCAGAATGTGTTTATTGGATTAAAATGTAAGATATAATTGAGAGCTCTACTTTCGTTTTTAGGCCTTTTTACACTTATGAGTCTCCTGTAGATGAAACTGCACGTCAGGTGTACAGAGTTCTAAGCTTGGTATCTTTGATGTGTTTTTTTAGATTAATTTGGCTAACCTTTTCAGATTCCCTTAACTCATATAGCTTTAAACGTTTCTACTTATTCATATAAAATATATTGGGTGTGAGAGTTCCTAATTAAGCTAAATCCAGGAAAGTGCTTCGGGTGTGCGAGGTATTGTCTTTTGTTCATGCATAGGTTCATCTGTTAATTGTTACATTTAATACGTTTTATGTATGTAGCAATATACATATACTGTTTATGTTCTATAAAGAATGGCCTCCGAGTAACTTAGAGGACACAGCGATGACGAAAGAGCACCTTATCGAGATAAAAGATAAAAAAAGTCCTTGGTTTGTTCACGAATATGGAAAAGAAGTAAGATATTGTTAGTGCTTGTAGTATAATCATGCATATATGTTATCATAACGATCTGTTGTTTTTGTGTGGAATATGTGGGCATATATATTATATTTAGCGTACCTATTTTCGTCCTTTATGAACTATTTGATGCTAATTAAGCAACAAAATAAATTTTCTAAAATGTTTGTTTGCTTTGAAGCACTACATTTCTTCAGTACAACCGATAAAGTGGGTGGAATTTTACACTTTTCGAAAATGTTTCGACAGAGCAAATATTTTTTTTAGAGATACTAAAACGATTACTATTAAAGTTCAATTAGTCATAGGTGAATATAGTGCAGACATTAGAAAGCAAGTCTTGGCATACCATTACCATATTTGATCTTTGCAACATCAGAGAGTGATGATATCAAACGAGCAGATGAAAAACATGTTTTCCGTTGGTATCCTATGTTTTTATCTATTTTAATATGTTTTATTTTTCATTCTTTAACAAATTAAGAACAACTAGTCACAAGCAACCAAAAGAGCAGTAAAACAAAATCGTTTCAGTTAGCATTTTTTTCTTTCCAGCAAAAATATTCTGGGCCAATTTAGCCTATATATACTTTCAGTCCACGAGATTTTATGAAATCTTATATCACAATCATTTCCAATTTGTCATGAAATGAGAACGTTTGATCTAAACTGAAAGCATTTGATATTACAAACAAGTGGATTTATCTTAGAGCATAAACCTGCTTTGTTAAGCAAATCTTCATTTCAGTCATTCTGGTGTCATTGTTTTGAATTTTGCAGTCCGTCTACGACATGAAAGGAGAGTGTCGAGGAAACGTTTTTATCATCAACAATGTATCATTTGGTAAAAAATGGGCATGTCGAACAAGTTCTTTTACTGATGCAAAAAACCTTAGTCAATTGTTTAAGGAACTCCACTTTACTGTACAACAATGGGACAATTTAACAGCAAAGGTAAGATATGAATGCATATTACCTACTTCGAGCGCTTATAATACCATATTCTAGTTAAGGTCGAGTTAGTGCGCATGTCTAGATAATGAATTCACTAAAATGTATTTCCCGAGTTTATAGTTTCTTAACATTGTGGTGTTGACAGACCTACTTTAGGAATTATCTATAGTTAATATAGTCAATCCATAATTCGCAAAAATAACTTTGGTTTGACCATAATAACGTCACCATCGAACTATCGTACAAAACGATCAGCAATATTGCTGGTGTGTATCAAATACATGTGGCTTAAATAATAAAAATTAACCGAAAACATTAAAAAAAAGATGAAGTTGGTCGTGTTTTAGGTAATCATAAATATTTTTGAAGATATAAAATAACATTGACAGTTTAAACACTTGTCGGTCATTTACAAAATGGCGAAACCCGAGCAGTGGCATGGTAGACTATAGATCGGTTGTGACTTTGTTATGGGCGAACTTTGGAATTTTTCCATGACTTTTTCTGATCTAGCTGCATATATATGCATATGATTAGCATGTTCCAAAGAGGAATACGGTCAGTAGAAAAAATAAATTGAAGTTGGTACTCCAGGAATTTATTCGCATAGCAACATTTTAAACCAATTTTACATCAAGCTACTATAGCCTGCTGTTCTCGTCGTGTAAGGAGGGGAAAAAACATTAAATGACGTGTATTTTCGTTAAAGGTGAACAGATTAGTTGGGAAAGGATGTACATGGTCGAATGATATGACCGTTGCTGAGGTGAAATCGAATCTAAGAAAAAAGTTATACTTTTTCCCAGGAATCTATGGAAACCCACCGGAACTGTTCAAAGAAAAATAGTCTGAATAACCAGAGAGTATTTCGAAGAGTTATAAGGATAATTATATTCATTGTTTTCTTCTTCTTATTGTAATATGTAATCATTATAATATTTTTAAGTGTAGGTATATTGCAAATAGTGATTTTTTTTATCTTGTTGGGGTTTGCCCACAGTTTAGTTGAATTCAGTTTCGAATAATAATAACAGGTACCTTAACAGAAATTCTTAATCAATAATGTATATATTTGAAGATGTGTTGATGTTGATATAAAAAGTTTTGACGTTGAAAATGTTAAAAATATTTTTATTAGTAGATATTGGATTTACTGGAAAATACTATAGATAATAATGCGAATGTTAAAAAAGGAAAATTGCTTAAAATTTTAAAAATTTAGAATTAGTGTTCATCTGTTAGCTATTGAGAAAGGTCAAAATAAATAATCGGCAGGTTGAAGATGAGTTTCAGTTTTTAATTGAATGCACTGCAAAGAAAATGCATTTTATTCTTGAGGAAACATGTATTTATGTAAACACTTCCCTTATATATAAGCACGAACACGAATATCAGTGTCAAGATTTATTAGTACTTGTTTTGAAATATGATACACATTTCCTTCCAGTGACTAAATATGCATGTTGTAGTGTTGTAATTAACATTCTTTATATTACAAAGGGTTAATATTTTTCTTAAACTGAATCTTGTACTGGGGATAGTTATTAATTCATTTATTTTCAATGTAATATATCTTAAAATTACTGTATAACTAATGATATAAAATATATATATATATATATGAATATGCTCGTAAACGGGCCTTTTAGTTGGATCAAATAAAGTATTTATATACGTATTCGTATTAAGAAATAGAGATGCTAGCTACTTGATTCAACATTTTATTTAAATATTTTAAATTTCTAGAAAATTAGCAATGATCTTAATATTATTTTGTACCAATTCTTTTGAAATAAGAGACTGACAAACTAAAGCAAACCAGCGTGAATCGTCAATATCACTTGACATTGGTAATCCATTGTCCAATATTGAAATTTGAATGCAATGTTGAACGGTTCTCGATCTATTTAACAGAAGTAGTTTTTGCCGACTGATACCCCGTCTGCCGGTCCGTCGTACTACCAAATATTGATCACCGTATTTTTGTTAAGAAAACCCTGTGAAAATTTGAATTTCATCATGGCGATTAGAGTTTTTGACGATTTTATGAGTAAACGGTCCATGACTACTTACCTGTTGATATAACCTAGAGGAATTTTGCTGAAAAAAATAAAGCAATAATTTACGAATATGTCAATAAATTAAGATTTCAATGATTATAATTGCTGTTGTAGACTATTTTGAGAAGAACAATAGAAAATTGTACATGTTTAAAAAAAAGTAAAATCACAAAAATACTGAACTCCGAGGAAAATTCAATCGAAAAGTCCCTTATCACATGGCAAAATCAAATGACAAAACACATCAAACGAATGGACAACAACTGTCATATTTCTGACTTGGTACAGGCATTTTCAAATGTAGAAAATGGTGGATTGAACCTGGTTTTATAGCGCTAAACCTCTCACTTGTACGACAGTCTTATCAAATTCCGTTATATTTACAACGATGCGTGAACAAAACAGACATTATAAATAAAATAGTCAAAATATGGGTACAAGTCACATTTTCACTGCAGGATTGGTCGATTGATTTTTGCGTAAACGCATAGTGGCAAATATCCAATGTATTATATTCAAGACAAACATATAAGACGTCGTCATCCAAACATATTTCTGAATTTCATGTCTAAAAGAGAATACCGAGTTTTAGTTCTGTGCAATAAACTTCTGAAACAAATTCTACGGCTCCACCTCGGCCAATATTTCTGAGCACTATTTTAACTACACGTTCGCGTAGACCTTTCGGCAAAGAAGAATATCAAATAATTATTGCACAGACCGCAAAACAACTCAATGAATATGTATGACACATGACATTTACAGTACAATATAGAAGTAAAAAGTGATTGACAATGCAGAGGCATGAAAATATTCTAGTGCGCAATGCGAATATTTTCCACGCCTTTGCATTGTAAAACACTTACATTTCATAATGTGTACGGTAAATATAACTTGTACGTCTAAGCAATCGTTACAGAAACTAAAAAAAAATATATTAATGCGTTCGTTCAAACCCAAGTATTTTTGTGTAAGAAAGCTTGCCCAAAATCTTAGATCCATAGAGAGACAACATGTCGAATATATACGTACTTGGCGAATGATATCTCCACACCCTACAAGATGCGATGAAGACCGAAGAGAATAACAGACGCAGAAGTAGCGCTTAAAGTCCTATGCGCTAAACGTTCGATTACTGATTTTCACCCTAGTTTCCAGTAAAGTACCAACACTCATTAAACTTTTAACGGGTATAATTGGTTCATTGCATACGAACATATCTGGTCAAGTAATTCATTCCTCAGAATTTCGCTATTTGCAGGCGAAAAGGAAAAGCCACTCGAGTCGCTGTAGCGTTCACGTGATGATACCATTTATTATTTAGATTCTTGAATGGAGGCAATAGAGAAATGTCATCAGCCTGAACAGGTCACTACAACAGTGTTATATAAGTAAGCCCCTTAGCTAGCTATAAAACCAGATTTAATTCAACATTCTCTACATAAGAAAATGCCTGTACCAAGTCAGAAATATGACAGTTGTTATCCATTCGTTTGATGTGTTTGAGCTTTTGATTTTGCCATTTGATGAGGGACTTTCCGTTTTGAATTTTTTCCTGGGAGTTTCGGTATTTTTGTTATTTTACTTTTTGATACTAGATCCAAGTTCGTTTTCCAGCACTACATTGACGCACACCTCTGTTAAGTTTAAACCAAATGGAAAGTTTCCCACCAGATAAAATATAACTTTATAAAAGCAAAAAATAATTGACTAACAGCGTTCAACAAATGAAATATAACAATGACATATCGTTGGTCGCTGTCTGTCATATTGGTTTTCTTTATTGTTGTAGTATAAATCAGATGGTAGGTTTTCTTTTTTTAACTACTTCTAACTTTATCATCTTCTGAACCTTAGTAGCTAACTATAAGATTTGGTTTGCTCCTTGCTGAATATCATACGGTTATCTTTAATTTTGCCCTTTTTCTTGTTGTTTCGTTATACCATATCTCCTTATGTTTATACTAATCCTGTTTGTGTCCACGACTCATTGGTCAGTTTACAAAATACTCCTGTAATGAAGTTCATCAATCGACAAATTTAAGACAATTCAATATAAAATAGATTACAATCGGCTTCTCCTTTTCTGTGTTTTTTCTTCGAGTGTCTTACACTTTAAGCGTTTTGCGCATACGATGTAAACTATTTCAGTTTTAAACATGGAATGCAGCAACGAATTCAGTAAATGCAAAGTGCATGGTTTATATTGATTTGTCGTTACTGATAACATGTGATGGTTTAAGTTTGTTTTCCTTTTGTTTTCTCGTTTTGTTAAAAATAAAAGGTCTCAAGAGAAAATCAACATGGAAACACAAAAACCAAATTACAAGCAAGTGCACACTCAATAGATAAAATATTATCAGAGAACCTTTGCAGTTCCTGGAAGCTACTTGAATTTTTTAGATGCAAAATAAATTATATTCTTCGATAGGGTAATTTGGATACATCCTAAAGCTTTTTTAACGAATTCACTCCAATAAGATTTGCTTGAACTTACAACATTGTTATGCAATTCGGTTTTTGACAGCAAATCTAAATCAAATATATACAAAATTTATTTGGAGTGCATTACTTTAAGGACACCATCAACTGTAATTTAAAAAGAATAAAAAATAAAGGATACCGAATAAACTGGGAATTTCAACAAAAAAACCATCAATGTACCGAATTGAAAAAACTGAAATAAGAAAATATTGTCAGACTTTTCCAGTATCAAACACATTTTGCCTAAGGTTAGGAAAAGCTGAATTGCTAAAAAAAATAATAGTGACACCAGCGTTCTATACAAAGTTTTGTTTCTTTTATTGAATAATAATTGCACGACACTTGTATTCTTTTTTTACATATATTTATTCTTGTTTACTAATGATACAATTTTGGAACAAGTATTATAATTTTTAAAGTATGAAAATACTTCCATATTATCAAGGTAATGGGGTAGACGTAACTTACAAAAACTCAAATACACACTTTTCTGGGTTGACATTTAAGTGTGTGCAATAAATCTATAAAAAGCGTAATATAAATAAGAACATGTGGTATGAGTGCCAATGAGACAACTCTCCATCCAAGTCACAATGTACAAAAAGTTGACAATTATAGGTCAAAGTACGGCCTTCAACACGGAGCCTTGGCTCACACCGAACAGCAAGCATAAGTCTTTAAGGCATTAAACTAAAAGAAACGGAATCATTTACGATCAATTTTAAAAAGGCTATTTAAAATCGTTTCGTCTTGACAACAGATCAGCACGATTTTGTAATTTAACATTCGGTTCTATGGAACGAAATTAATTCTCACTCTTTTTATTCACTCGATTTCCTGTTGAAGTAGAACAGAGAAAAATATTCCATCATACTGTGAGTAAGACTTCTAGTAATGTTGATTTTGAAATCGGACAATCAACTCCCAACGGTATATTACAATGTAATTAAGTTGAACTTCACTTTGATTTTACTTTGATTTCGGAGTAAAAGAAACTGCAATTGAAAATATTTCCTTAAGACAAAAGCAATCACCTTTCACATTCCGCTATATAGCACTTATAAACACGTTTCTATCAGCGCTTTTTTGTATTTCTAATAAAACTAGCAAACCATTATCGATAATCAAGATTTAAATGCGATGTAAAAGGTTTTTGACTTCTGAATCAGTGCTCTATGTAAATTTCGAACTGAGGTATGTTTGAAACAACCCGTATTACTTTTATCTATTTTGGAACTGAATGCTTTTATATATGCTAATCTACCTAACCAGTATCTTCTCGTATATTCTTTGTTTTATTCATCAAAATTATATAACTATCTATAGATTGTAACTTTTTGACAAATTGACTGTAGATAAATATATCTTTATTATGTTGTCTGTGATTTGTCTAGTGGCTTATAAGTTTTCTCTTCAGTCCAGAATTGTTATGAATTCATTATATATTATCATGATTAAAGTATATTCGAAATAAAGCCCAAATATGCCCTCAAAACAATTTAACAAAGCAAACAAAACATGTTTATTTTATTATAGATTAGTACTGAATCAGGTATACCTTCAACCTATTCAGCAATTCTCCAAATTCTCCCAACCGACTTTGGACCTTTTTAACCTCATGATCTAGAATTGTTTTGAACGCATCTACGTCACCTGGGTTAGGAGCTTGAAAATAAAATGACAATTTATTTTTTTTAAATGATAATACATGTATTCATAATAGAAATAACTTTTTTTTTCAAAAACAAATAGTCATGATTGAGATTTGCTGATTTTTCAACACCACAAAAAAGTGCCTTTTGGACATAGTGAGATGATAAAAATGGGTTTATTACATTTTGTTAAATCCTCAGTGTACAATTCTTGCTGCTAAATGTCCTTCATATGAAACACATATGTGTTCAAAAGGTAAAAATGGTTGCCAAAATGTATTATCATGCTGCATAATATGTTGTGCGACAGGTATCGTATGCAAGGAAATAGTGATATTTTTAGTACAAACGGCATCGCTCTAGTTTGCGATGATGTTTCATTTTGTTATTTGGATCAAGAAGGTTATTCTGCACTGAATTCGGTTCGAATGTTATCCGGTGTTGAATATATAAATCTTGGAATGACCTATTTCTGATACCTAATTTGCTGTAGTGGTCTTGGGTATTTTGTTACAAATAAAACATAATTATAAAGGATTGACATTAGTTATTTGAGATGAGTATTCTTATGTCACTTCATCTAGTATTACACAGTAAGAGTTATTCTGTATGTTTCTTGCAAGACGATCGGTAGTATACAAATTGTACCAAACGAATGTCCGAAGCGCTTTTCTGGAGTAACCTTCATCAGGAACGCTCACATCCGAATATTTGAAAGCCAAGGATGTATAAGAACCGAAACAGTTGACGAGCTATATGATAAAAAAGGATCTAAAAATAGCCAAATCCATCAAAGGTCTATTTCAAAATTTATAAACTGACAATTTTAGAAAGGTTTGTTATAAATCATGTCTATACCGAAGTAGTGACTACTGAGCTGAAGACACCCTCGGGGACTGATAGTCGTTATCTTTGTTAAATGGGTTAAGTTGTGATTTGAACCCTTACCAATTAACTCAATAAACGTAATACTAGTAATTATGTTCCTGGCATCATGTCTCTGCATAAGTAGAAAACTCAGTTTAGATATATCAGTGTCAGTTAGTGAAAGAAAGACTGAAAATATATCCTAATATAAAACTGTCAAATTCAATTTATTTGGTAGAAAGGGTAACATACTACTGGGAAATCAAAATAATTAATCATAAATTATAGGAAAAAAATCAAGCATGGTCATTTTGAAGACAACAGCAAGGTTTTGCGGTTGAATCAATACAGAACGATTGTTGTGTCGATGAGGCACCGGCCTTTTATTTATTTTATTTTTTTCATTTTGCTAAATCTGATATACATGAGCCAATAGCTGTTTCTAAGAATGCTCGTCGCACCGAATTTTTGGAATATCTATTTAAGCACATCCATACAGTCTGCATTACTATAAAAGAAGGAGATTTGCCAATGAGACGACTTTCAACCAATGACCAAGGGACAAGGATGCAACAACTTAACGTCAACAGGTGTCCTTCAACAATGATAACTAATATTTTTAATATGTTTAACAGATATATCATGTTCAGGAGGGTTATTACTGAAATATACCAATCAAGATCAGATAAATTTCATGAACCGTCAGGCAAATACCCATTCTGAAGTTTTTTTATCTATTCAATTACACAGAATGTGAATAGAAATTGTATATTTAAGTTAAACATTCGAAATTTAATGTTTGCGCATCTCTAATGACGATGGTAAAATATGAACACAATCTATCTTAAAAGGAAATATGCATTAGAAATATCGACCAATGAAAATCGAAGATACTTATATAAGGTGTAAGTAATATAAAACAAAACATACAATGATACCAGTCCGACGATGTAAGCACTTCGCTCATCTCTACACAGTAAACCAATATCACGTGATCATCATGTCTGTGTACATGGCTTGCGTACCCTGTAAAATAAAACAAATTTAATTTTATCAAAGTTATATCAATCGAAAAAGCAGTTTCGATTTGTTAACCCCCGTATGTTATCGGAAGAATGTGAGGCGACGAAAAATCTTTATTTTCAATAATTTAAGATACATGTCCCGAATCGATTATTCGACATTTTTAGCATGACCGTGCATTTATTTATTCTAAAACGGTACAATGAAATACACAAGACGTTTACTCATCTATTTATGTAATGATTTTATTCACATTTAATTGAGTCAAAAACCATATGAAAACTTGGTCAAGCATGTCGATAAGGACTTTCATATGATGTCACAGTGACATCACAAATGACATTACTGCACTCAAATTACCAGACTATAACATCAATCATAATAGTGAAATTATCAAAACATTTTGCAATTTCGGGCTCAAAATAATGGTTGAAGATTATGTTAATATTTGATCTGCATCAGATAACTTATTTTTTGTTTTACTAAGCATGTCCCTAATGGGTAATGTTACAATAATAATGTGCACATATCGTTTATTTGACCGAAAAGACAACAATACATGCATGTATAATATATCAATAGCCAAAACTTCATTCAATCATGTTTATTCTACAGTATTATTACATTGTACGCGCTAAGACATACTTTGCATATCTGGTCATAAAATGCATATGACATGTTGTAGTCGATTTGTTTTTTCTTTGGTTTTTTTTATATTCTTTTTTTTTTTTTTTTGGGGGGGGGGGGTCTGTTTTGTTTCTTTGAGTTTTCTAATTTCTGTCTTCGTGGAGAAGTGTAACACTTTGTCAACTAATGCATTGTAATAATGACACAAGCATAGCTGAAAAATATAGACATAAATCCGTCGTTTTAGATGTCTCCACGTTTGTCTTTGAACATACCTGTCGAAAGTTAATCCAAAATCCCGCATTGAAAGCATAAAAACAAATAACCTTCAAAACTGAGTAAGTCACATATTCCAGAAATCAAAATAAAGTATAACATCAAGGTTACAGATCATATATCTCCCAAATCAGCTAAGAAGACATAAATCAAGTTAACAAACAAAAACTGAGGAAATTGCAAACGACTTGTCTTGTTCTGCTTTTCAAGTACAGTTTGATTTAAATACACTTATTTTGAAACACGATGTTATCTAGACATGCTTGAGTGGAGGAACTATGAGCTGATTTGTGCATTATACTTTTAATACCTTATTTCCTGACCTTGTTTAACACATGATAGTGTATATTTGTAATTGTTATAGCAAAAGATTGGATTTGCATGACTTATTCCGCTTATTTGCGGGGCTATGATAGTTTAATGCCATTGGATCTGATAATTTGGTAATACCACATAAACTAGTTGCTTTATGACAATGTAAGTCCGTCTGTCCGTCCTGCATAAGATTTATGTTGTATGACAAGTTAAGATTGTCTCATCTGATTTTATTATTTTTTTTGCATATCTATAAAACGAGGATCCTTGTTAATTTTTGTATAAATTGGGGAAAAACACATAGTTTAAAAAAAAACGTAGGGAAAGCAACTGTCATATTCCTGACTTGGCACAGGCATTTTCCTAGAAAAAGGTGGGTTAAACCGGGTTTTTTAGCTAGCTAAAACGCCTACTTGTCTGACAGTTATTTAATGTAACGTAGTATTGACAAATTGGATGAGCAACCCAAACCGACATAATTGGTTAACGTGGCCATAACTGGTACCGAGCAACCAGAAGTGTAACAACTTAGCAGACATACAACACAACTGGATTAACCATTCATACATACTTACAATTAAATCAAACAGAGACGCAAACAAAGAAAGTTTTTTTGTAGTTGATACATTTTGTAATACAGTGAGTATAGTAAAGCATAATAATCTATACACTTTCCAGATAAAACACAAAAACCTGAAAGCTGGATGTACATATACCGAATCACGTCAAGACTCATACGTCCAAATGAAACATAATAGTATAGAGACAAATAAAGGTAAAACTGTACAGTAGATAGAATTCTACACACCTAGAATCTATAACTTAAGACCATCCTGTATTATTTTTGAAGTAGACATGGAATATTTATCTATTAGGTCTTGGTATTTTTCATGGAACTTTTTTAGGAAAAGGACAAAACGTTCTTTCACAAACCCATGGCTCATTATTCTTTGAGAAGCAGCTGCCAGCTCCTGAATATCGTATAATTTGAGAAGTGTATACTCCATACGCGGATGAATTTCATAAATTGCTGCTAAGGTGAGGAAAATTTATAATTTCAAAATTGAAATCATCTCGTTTGTCATAGACTCTGGTATTGAGATGACCGCTATAGTCAAATTCGGGGTATATGTCTAAAAATGAGGCCATGGAAGCTGCATAATTTATGTGGTGTCTGTAATCTCTAGTTCAGGACTATTAATGGGATCCAATTAGAAAGGTTTATATTGTTAAGAGAAAGAATATCTTCAATATACCTTTATGTAAAGTTAAATGATATAGCTTCTTTAGTCCAAGTTAAACCCTTACGAAAACAAAAAACGTACACATTAAGATATTTCCAGGAGAAGACCACCAGACCCCCTCTCGCTTCACTCATTCGTGGATGCATCTAGCATTATGAATAAATAGATTTTACTTTTTGACAATTTACGCTCCTTGGGGTCTTATTATCTTGGATGCCTAGTTAGCACTGTCTCTTATATGAAAACAGGTTTAAATATGGGTTTATATGTATACTAGTAATGTATATATACCACCAAAATAATGAAAGCATTAATTTACGTTCTTGGTAAATAATTACACGTTTCAACCAATTACAGGTATATCAATTAGTAAA